AAATCGCTGCTGCTGTCTCTCGTGGTTGAAAATCGTCAGAGCTCCACCACTGCCTCTCGTTGTCGTAGCTCCACCGCTTATCGTCAAAGCTCCGCCGCCTCTCATTTTCCTCTTGTCGTCAAAGCTTCACCTCTCATCGTCGAAGCTCCAAGTTCCATCTCCTCTCTGATCTTCGTCAAAGCTCTCCTATCCTCTCTGCTCCTCGTGAAGCTCCTCTGTCTCCCCCAACTCCGCCTCCACCTCCACTCTTCAAAGCACCGCCACCTCCTTCTTGAAGCTCCCGTCTCATTCTCTACAGTGTTTTGTTAATATTTGTGTGATTGTTACACATCTATTTCATGCATAGAATTTCTATAAATCATTAAATGTGCATTTATAGAATTTTTAGTTTTTTCTTGAATTTATCTTTTTTTTATATTTATACATTTAAACTGGACCATTTTCTGACTTTGCGCCTTTTGCCGCTAAAGCTCCAAATAGACTTAGCGGTGCCTCACCGCTTCGCTACGCTTTCTGCTCTCCGCAACTTTGGTCTTGATGATGCCTTGCAGAAGCACTGTTAATGTGAGTAATAGCATTGCCTGTGGTCAGGCAGCTTTTAGTTGCAGTAGGTAGATGATGTTGGATGGGAGTCCAAAGAATCGGTCCACTAAGGTGAATGTGAGAATTGTGTATTTGGAAAAAAAATTTGCCTGTTAAAATTTGGGATGATGGAACAGGAGTTCAAGTCTTGTGGTTTTTTTTATTTCCATGTCTTTACTGCTTTTAGGTCATCTTAATACACATAACTTCTTTCCCATTTCTTTTTCTTTTCATACTTTAAACTGTTTCAATGCAGATAATTCCTTTTTGTGTGTTGTTTAGAAGTGGATTAGCCACTCCATGCCCTGAAACTTTTACCGGTCTATCAGTTGTAGGTAATTCTTGTGCAGTAAAGGTAGTCTTTAGTGAGCAGAGCTCATGAGATCTTGATTAATTCAATTGTCATCGCACCTTTAGTGTCCCTTAATGCTTCTTAATATGGAGTAAGTAACAGGCAGGGTTGTTGCCCCCAAGAGGGGTCATCTAGTTTAGATCAGGGTTTTTGGCCTGATTACATTTGATCTGAAATTCTAGCATTACCACTATACTATTTTCACAAATTCTTACTATGTCCAACACCTGAACAGGAAGTACACTTGGATGTCCATGTAGCTCAACTTAGACTTTGCTCTAGTAGTTAAAATAATGGAAGCGGGACTTTATACTAAAAGAAGTGACAAAGGATAGAAATAATACTTGGGAAGGATCCACAGTGAAGAACAAAAATAAGAAATGTTAACTGATGCTTGTTTTACTCCCATAATTCTCATCTTCCAGTGGGCGACTCTAGATCATTTTGTATAACCTGTAGCGGATCAAGTCCGACTCATGATGACTAGAAAACCATGCTTTTAATAGAGATTCATTTATATAGAGGTTTTTGCATATTTACCCACCTCCATATCATCAGTATTTGTAAAAGTCCCCCCTAAAGCACCAAGTTTGGGCAAAATTATCCTCAGTTAGTTCTGTTAGGGTATATTCAGGGAATATTCCCTATATATTTCTGTTAAAGTAGGTGAATTTTTTTATAATGGCTAATTTACTCATTGTTAGGTTACTGCTAATTATGATCTTAATTAAAAACCCTACATATGTGTTTGTGTGTGCATGCGTGCACGCGCATGTGTTGTGTGTGAGTGCGCGTGGTGTGTGCATGCGTGCGTTTCGTCCCCCAAAACCTACTCCCCTGGTACCAGTAATTAGACTTTTCTTGCCAAACACGTTTTATTACATTTTTATCATATAAGCTAAAAGCCACCAGAATCTATTATAGCTTATAAGCTTCAAAAAATAAGCCCTCCCAAACACCCTTTATGTTACCAGTTCAGAACCTTCACAGATCCAATTGCCCTTTGCTCAGATAAAGGACCTGTGTAAGCTCTGTTTCATAGATTCTTGAGTGAATATCTCAAGAATAAAAAGGACGCCCTTCTCCTTTTCATTATTAAAAACTTTACTTACTATACATTGCCTCTGTTTTTGTGACCTTTGTCACCTAGCTAGCTCAATATTTGTGCTATAAGTTAATCCTTTTCCTCATCTGGGTCTCCTTCATTATCCTTCTTCAAGCTTAGACGAAAAATGCTCCTAGGGAATGAGTTAGTACTTGGGCTCCCCTTCACATCTCTCTCTGCATAAAATCTCTTTCAGCAAACATTTGTCCATCACCATAGGTTCCTTCTCCTTTCATTGAGAAAAGTTCTGTTTACTTTACATTGTCTCTGATTTTGTGACTGTTGTCACCTAGCTAGCTCAAGAATGAGCTATAAGTTAATTCTTCTTCTCTGGGTGTCCTCCATTACCATTCTTCTTGAAGCTTTGACCAAAAATGTTTCTCGGAAACGGGTTACCAATTTGGGCTATTTTTCTGAACAGGTTATGGGGCTAGGGCTCGTCAAAGAACTGATCCCGTGAGAATTTGTTTGGGTGGGCATGAATTGAGGTTTAAGGGTATTTTCTTTTTTTTGAACAAAATGCAACTGTCATTGCCTAATAAACGATGTTAGATTTGGATGCAAAGTTGGTGATTTGCAGGTACTTTAACAAATACCAAGATTTAGGTGTATTTTTACAATTATTGATGATTTGGGGTGTTAAATATACAAGAAAAGGAACTTTTTATATAACAGCCTGCCAGCACTAAACCTGGGTTCAAACTGCTCTAATTGCTCTGTGTAGTGGTCAGAATTTTAACTAACTTTCATTCGGTGGGTAGCTGTGGCTTCCATTTATCAAAAAGTGAGTCATGCAAATATCAGACTTGATAGCACTGGATAAAGTTCTATTTTTGGTTTTCCATATTCAATGAGCTCTCCTGACACTGACATGAGAATCTTACGCTAGTGGAAAATAACATCATATGGTAAAATTTAACTAGGCCAAAGCCAGCTTTTCTGACCACTATAACCATCTGAAACTAAAGTCGACATGTGTGGCTTGTCCAGTATCAATTCTGTTTTCAGATTACAATTCATTTACACTGGCCTACCTGAGAACTAGTGGTGGCAATTTGAATTCTTCAAAGTTCTTAATCTTTGTTTGTGATACTATTTAAGAACAGAATAATTAAGGGACTCATAAGTCATTTTTGGTTCCATCAAAGCCTTATTTGGCCACTTACACATGCTAACTTGGCAATCAACACTTACATTTTCACTGAAAAAATGATGACAGCTGACTTCAATGTGATCGATTATCTACTTTGGTTGAAATAAAAAATTCAGCAAGCATTATTGGTAGGAGACTTTATGAAATATCCCGGGTTTGCTTTGTCAATTTGTCTCTTGTTAGATCTCATTGCTGTACAGAGCATGTATTGCATCTTTTCTGCAACTCCTGTTCATTATTACAGAGCTGAATATATGCTGAGGCTTACTTTATTGGTTTGACAACTAATTACCAGGTCTTTGACATATCATCTTTACAAATATTTTCTCCAAGCGAGTTAGACTATCTGTTGTGCGGGCGCAGAGAATTATGGGAGGTATTCCTTATTTTCTATCATCTGTGATCTTTTTGTTTATAATGTCTCCTCAGCTCATTGGATTGTCATAACGATTGTCGCTACATCCTGCAGCCTGCTACACTGGTAGACCATATTAAATTTGATCATGGATACACTGCCAAAAGCCCTGCGATTGTTAATGTACGTGCCCACTAATTCTGAAAATATCTGAACTATCCCCTTGGATCAGTTGGGATTGTTGATGTCTATTTTTGTTTTCAGTTACTTGAGATCATGGGAGAATTCACTCCAGAGCAGCAGCATGCCTTTTGCCAGTTTGTGACTGGTGCACCTCGCCTTCCACCTGGTGGTCTGGCTGCATTGAATCCAAAGTTGACCATAGTGAGGAAGGTAATTATGCGAACAAATTATCCAGGTGTTGAGCTCTGTACAAATGTTGTTCTTTTTCATACATAATTTCACCTTTATTTCTGCTTGATGCCAGCATTCTTCAACGGCAACAAATACCGCAGCAAATGGAACGGGAGCATCTGAATTGGCTGATGATGACTTGCCTAGTGTTATGACTTGTGCCAATTACCTAAAACTCCCTCCCTACTCAACTAAGGTTCTTTTCATTTTCCCTTATGTTCAAGTTTTCTACAATTCAGTTTTTTTTTGTTGCCCTTTGTTTCTCAAGATCTTTCTTAACTTATCTCTTTTCTTTTGTTTCTTTTGGCAGGAAATTATGTATAAGAAGCTGCTATATGCTATTAATGAAGGGCAGGGATCTTTTGACCTATCATAAGAGAAATTGATCTTTTTATAGCTCTTGCTATACTGTGGGATGATCAGCCAATGTCAGTTCATCTGTCCATTTTGATAAGCAGTGTCCTTTTTGTGCATCCTAAACTGATAATACCGAGGTCAGTTTGTTCTATCTTTGGTTACATGGGGCCAATCCTTTAATCATTCCTTCACCTGTATGTATAATGTCAATTCTATTTAATGGGCAAAAACGATCTCATTAATTTCCTTCTCCTTATGATCAATAATACCAGTTTTCTCTGTCAGCAAAAATTGGTACACTGATCAGAGTTGATCCTCCTTTTGACTGATTTTAACTCCATGGGACTCTGAAGGTCTGGACTGCTACCGGCCAGTGCTTGTAAATAACCAAACATAAGAAATGCTTCATTTCATTTTTAACTTTGTGCTTGTTATAATGTATTGACAGAGAATGATAGAAAGAGAAATGATTACTTTTGAATTAGTCTCATTTGATGATATGCAGACTTAGGTTTATTTTTTGCTTTATTTCTTAATGGTCAGCAGTTGATAGTATAGATCACAGTGAAAATTTGGTATTTGAGATATTTTGAGCTTTTGTCATGAAGCCATTATTTCAAAGCATGCTTGTGTTTGATTATGTGCCTAATGCGTAGAGCATTTTGAGATGGTTGGTTTTGAGCTTCTCGTTATCTTGAGCAGCTTTAGATAGCAGTGGGATGTTTGCTGAGTGTCTTGACGGCCTCAAATATTTGTTGCCCTTCTAACTTATTTTGGAAGTTTTCAACCGTAAATCACTTGTCCATTTGTCAATGATTTGCGTTATGTATTTCTATCTGACCCCTCAAACCTGTATTTTTCTCCCCGCCTTTACATTAACAGAAGTTCTTTATACGCATCTCTCTACAAATTTTGATCAAGGAGAAACGTAACACTCTCAAACCGTATAGCAAGATTATGAAGAATATAATGTGACCGGGATGCTGCCAACCTCACACAGCAATTATAAAGCAAAGGATATAACATAATGGATTAATGAGTCCTTCGAAGGCGCTGCAGAGCTTATAAAACAAAATAACTAACTCATCCATAAAATATCATCCTTCAAATATGAGTGAACCCTCGGCTTTTCCTCTAAAGTATCAATACATCTATTTTGCCTTTTAAACTATACTTAAACTATACTGCTATTTAACACGTGCTATGCACGTGATGCATATTAAATAATGATATGAGACTAAAATATTTGAAGGTCATTTTACATTGTACTCGCCCACAATTTTTTTTTGAGAACAATGAAGAGGACTCAAACAGAGTCCCCAGCCATCCGCTCGCCATGAATTTATTGACATTTATATTAGTTCTTCTCTCTACGAAATTGCATACTTGTATAACTAATAGATTGATTTTTTTTCATAAATTAGAGGTGAAACCGGTTGCAGATCTGTTTGTTTCCTAAAAAAAGAAACATGTGAAATCTTATTAACTACATGGTATCCTCATTAGTATAATCGAGGGATTGACTCCACTATCAAAATTCTCACTTCCTCTATTTTTTTTTCATTTTTACTCTTTTAATGTTTCCTTTTGTGCATTTGAGCATCCATATATAGCATAATTTTATACAACTCTTGTCTAAGTGGAATGTTTATGAAAGTAGATAAATCGTGAAATTATTAGTGCATAATTAATAAAAAAATTGATTAGTCAGTAAGAGAATATACATGAATCCTTTAATTATAGGTTCATTTTCTCACTAAAATTCATATTCAATGCATTATTTGTGGGTTTAGAAGGGGAGATGTCATAATCACTTTATTAGCTAGGATTCAATTATTGTATTGCAATATTTTTTTCATGAAAAAAATATTAAGATACATCAAAACTAAACCGAAAACCCAGAAGTTTAGCAAAAGAATGAGGATTAATGCTGCTTCATATCAGACTGTAGTTGTGTAAAAATGATGGTGACTCTTCGAGCAATACCACAAAATCATTAATTTACTTAGCTCTTAGGACCAACACATAAGCCGTTATATTCTCTATTTGATGAACTATTTAAAAATCTCATTCATTGAGTCATGTGCAACAACGCTGAATATCATCCACAAAGTGTCCGAAAACTCCACCCATTATGGATATCTCTAATTACTACATTTGCATCTTCTTCAAAAATTATATTTCCACATCCAATGTCAAGAGCAAATTTAATAGCTTGCTACATCGCTTGGAATTCCGCATGCTTAGAATTACCTCGTATCCAAATACTATATAAGTATATTGCAATGGTTAGTACTATATGTTATGATAATTTATATGTTATTTCTAGACTACACCAATAGGTTAACATTCATATTAGTATTCCTCTCCATGGATTTTTTACACATCAGATGCACATATCATTATATTATAGTAATAGAGTAGATGTTAGATGTTTAATTTCAAATATTTAATTATCATAAATTATGATATAAGAATAGTTCTTAGTAGTAGTTTTTATGTTTATTTTAAGAATAATTATAGTGTAATAAATAGAATGAATTGAATAAATTTCAAGGCATTATTGTGAATTATCAAATTTAGAAGGGTAAAAGAGCCAATCAAAAGTTTTAACAACCCAATCCTCTTTTATATGCAGTATAGATTTGTGGATTCAATGTGGTTATTTTGTGAGTCCATTGTTAAATATTTATCAGACTAGTATAGTGCACGTGCTTTGCATGTGGACATTTTTATATTAAATATTATATTATTTAATAAATTATATATAAACATTTTACGAAGTTATTTTATTACACTATTATTAAAAAAAATTTAGCTATACTATTATTAGTACTTATACTATTATTGTAATAGACTAGAAAATCAACAAGTGCTAATCTCTCTAGAGAAGCCGGCACGTGTCTTACCCTTCGCCTAATTAGATGAATTGAGGCCGAGACGACTCAAACCACACCTACGACCTACTGTGTCAGCTGACAACTTACGTAGCCGAGTCAAAAGGCTGTACTTGTAGGTCACCTCATCTGATCGACAATAGAGAAACCCGCACTCGGCCTACTGTGTCAGCCAACAACTTGTGTAGCCGAGTCAAAATGCGGTACTTGTCGACCGCCTCACCCAAACGACCCTAGAGCAACCCGCACTCAACCTACCTCACCCAAACGATCCTAGAGCAACCCACACTCAACCTACAGTGTCAATCGACAACTTGCGAGACCGGCTAAAAAGGCGGTGTTTCTCGGCCCTTGATCAAACAAATAGAGAGACGATAGTTACCTCAAACCCCTCGCTAGCTGACTGCTCTCATATTAACTGTTCTGACAAAATCATCATTACTTTAAGCCCATAGTCCTTATGACTCATCAGACATAGTCATCTCCAAGCACCTGCTGTCATTCTCTCATTAAATGACCAGATGACTCACTTTCTTCCGTGGTCGACACCTGTAAGGTATCTGCTGACTCGGTAGCGTGACTAGACTCGACTGAAGTTACCTTCATACCCCTCTGATCCACTATAAAAGGGAACTACACTGCATGAGGTAACTTTTGCTTTTTTGACAACTTTGAATAACTACCTATACAATTTGTTTTGATTTTCCCACTCAAGGTCAACATAATAATTTGATCTTCAGAGGAACAACCGGAGATTCCAACTCTGTCCTCTTACGAATTTTTTATGTGTAGAGAAGAACAACGGACTCTGGAACCAGACGTTAGAAGGAGTTTGAAGACCCTAAACACTCTCATAACTCTGGCATAAACTCCCTATTTGATAACTAACATCAACGATTATTAACAAACACTTAATAGGTATTTAATTTGGCTTCTTATTATGTTATTATACAATTTATTTAGGAGTATAATTATTAAATAATAATGTAATCATCATTTTAATTAACACTACTGAAATAATTAAACCATTTATGATATTAAATATTTCTGTATTGTACATATATTCTTGCAATATATATTAAATGATGGCAATAATTTTTAACATTATATAACTTTATGTATATTACATTGTTCGATAATTAATATCATAACGTCCAATTTTTATTACTAAGTCGATATTATAATGTCGAAAAAGGTAATACTCCTTACAATATAAAGAATCAATTCTTATTTATATTATTATTAATAATTATAATTGTTGATGTATGGAATCACATAGTCAAATGAAAGCAGATTAAGTTGACAAAGGTCCTCTCACTCTCCAAATGTCTGGTCTTTGGGCAAACTGTA